AAACTTTCTTACACTGATACAGGGCAATGCTCATTTTCCTCCTAAGTAACAGAGATTTAAACATTTAAAATCAGTCTTCTCTTGTTCTCTCATGGATGTGCCACTGCCAGCTCTGACATCTTCCATGTTCCTCTCATTTCATCATTCACACCTTACCGTCCTGGCTGCTGCTCCTGCGCATTCTGGTATATGAACAGACAAGCAGCAGTTTCTCCAGGGCTCGTTGTTCATGTCACATGGTGCAACTCCCTGACCTTGCCTTGGAAATGAAACAGGTTAATAATGCAGCCTGAGATGGATCAGCACATTCAGTGACTGCATCATCCTGCTGACTTTCCCTGAGTTTCGAGTTTGCTGTGAAGTTGGAGGCTTTCTTTCCCATACGTTTGCCGTGCTATACAACTCAAGGTCCTTCTTTGACCTTGTATAATTGTGTTTTTCATCCGAAGTGCAAGGTATTGCACCCTTTTCTGTCTCACATTGTTAACTTGTTCCATTTTTCTGCCTGATGAAATACTTTTTGAATCCTGATTCAGCCGTTTAGTAGAATCATTCTCTCCCAGCTTTGTGACGTACCCATTTTTCACAAACTCATCTTCTGTAGCTTGTCATTATTAATTAAAATGGTGAACAGATGGGGGGTCAAAGGAAAGCTTTGTGGCAGGATACTACTAGCAATGCTCTTCCAGGTTGGCGTGTGTCCTTGTACTACAACAAATACTGTCACATTCATATTACTTTGTTAAATGATACTCTGTATCAGTTGTGATTTTTTGTTTTAATTCTAATTTGTATTTTCTTAAAAAAAAATTAGTGCTGTGCAAGTGGCTACCTGCCCGCCAACAGTGATAATGCACAGCTCACACTTCGCCTCCTTCTGCCCAGTTGTGCAGCATCAAAGACCATGTTACTCCCCTCGTCGAGGCCAGTGCAGCTTTGCTGCTGGGTTTTCTGCATCTACAAATCAGTCTTACAAAATCAGAAATGAATGCAACCTGAACTGGGCGTCCTCTTAGAAACCTTTGCTGGCTTCCCATAACTGCTGTTCCTCTTTGTACTCGATCTCAAAAAAGGCTCAGAAGCAACCTCAAGCCCACTGGCCCACAGTATTGTATCCCTCTGAAATATTTTCTGTTGCTTATTCCCTGTCAAGGAAAAAATAATAAGGGATTATTAGCATGGTTTTGGAGCCCTTAAAATGCAATTAACATGCTGCTATTTCTAAGACCTCAGACACTTTTGAACTAGGCTGGAGATGCACCCCGTCTCCAGATACAAGCTGATCTTGAGCTACATCTGTAAAAAGTGATGTCATTTCCAACCCCCTTGTGGTTTAAAGCTATAAATACAAATGCCATTTTGTTAAATCTTGGAGCACATTTTCAAGACTGCCTCAACCTATGTTTTCCTGGTTCCGGATTTCAATCCTAGTAACCTAAAATAAATGTTATTTTCTTTGTTCTCAACCAAGTTGATTTTATTCTTGCTTGAAACCATTTTTCTATAACACTTGAACCTCCCAGTGCTGTTGAAGAGAATTAATCTAGAGATGAGACAAATCAACTTGCTAGTTGCTCCCTTATAAAATCCTAATTGACCTTGGGTTTTAGTTTCCTCTGAAGAGTGTTCATCTTTAAAAATGAGCTCTGTGGGTCCTCTAGTTGCAATATTTTTAGCTATGCAACATAGAAAATGTGACACAGTACACCAAACTAGCTCCAGAGGACAGGCAACTGGGCAATGAGGGATGAATACTTGAATTTCTCATCTTAAACAGGTTTTAAACAGAAGCCCAGAGGATATTGAAGGGTTTAGGGCCTCGTCTTCTCACACAATTTTTTCATTTGTCAGATTTATCTATTTCTGCCAGGCACCACCTTCATTTAGGTTAAGAGGTTCAGGTTTGGAGATCTCATTTTAAGACGCTGAGGGCGGGTGGGTACTCAGTGGCAGAGCCCTTGTCTCACATGTGAGGCCAATTCCCACAAAACGAACAAGGAAACACCAACAAAACCCCGGACTCTCCAACACAAGACACCTTCTCCAATATTCAGAAGTTTGGGTGGAATTTTATTTTTCATTTTCCAAGTCAACAGATCTTAACATTGGGTTCCATCAAAGAGAACACAAAGGTACAACACAAGCCACAGTAAAGCAGCGCTTTGGAGGTCAGCGTCTACACTGCAGGACAGAAATTAATTCCATGACCCCTTTGCTTTGATGAGAAGTAAATGTGGAAGCAAATGATTCTTGAAATGGCTTCAAAAGTTCATTTGCTTCTCCTCCGCTCAAAGCCTACCTCCTCCATGAGGGCAACAGGCCCCCTGAAGTACCTACTAATACAGATACATGTTTTGAACACACAAATCTTCACAGAGGCCCAGGATGTGAATCAGGGTTCACAATTTAACTTTCTCACCACCTCAATCAGACACCACGGCCACCTTCCATTTGGGTCTCTAGTTACCCTTTTATGGAGGAGGTTAGGGTATTGTGCTCTTTATTTTTAAAGATACTCTACTTGCTCAAATAAGCAAAGAAAAACATTCCCCCAAATGATTGAAATTTGTTACATTTATTTCCTTCTAATGTTTGTACATTTAACATATACCATATACATATTTTAAATCCTTCACTATTTTGCATGATTTCCATTACATAAAAACCATTTTAAATGCAATAATTTTTGTTGTCATGAAACAACAAAATATCCCCAGTTTATAAAAACACAGGAACAGTTACATTCATGAACATTTACATAATAGAGAAATGTACTATATATATCACAGCTTCTATACATAGCAGGTGACCCACTTGTCTACAAGGGTTGGGTTTACTTTAGTAACAGTGAAATCGGGTAATATTTATATACAACCATTTTCATAAAAAATAAAGCAACTGTAAAATGTAAACTTAATTTTCATAATAGTCTCTAAACACTTTAACAATATCCACATAAATAACTGTTCCATTTAAAAGAAGACCACCATAAATGCCACTATTTTCTAGACAGCATTTCTGAATCTGGTAGGTGATAATGAGGAACAGGTTTCTAGTATGTAATAAGGGACCTCTCACTTAGCTTACCCAAGTCTGCTAATGCTGACAGTTTGGCCACTAGAATAGAGTAGGCTGCTATTTTGTCACTAATTACTTTCACAATTTGCAGTGGACATATGGCACCAGGACTGCAATGAGACTGAAATGATTGGAGGAGAAAAACCCTAGGTAAAGGAATGCTCCACACTGTCAATTAATTTGAGCCACAATGAATGTAATCCAGCTAATAGGCTGGAAAAGTTAAAGTCTTGTGTTACATTAAAAGATACAAGTCACCAGCCTTCTGCATGCCCCAGCGTAACCAAGGCTGATGGGTTCTCCACTTGTGGAAAGTTCTGTTCTAGAAATGGCCTCCTGAAACCTGAGGTAGAAGACGGTGCAGGGAGGCATGTAGGCCTTTCCCAACAGCTCTCATCTGGGCAGAGCAGAATGGCTGAGCAGTTTGTGTTTTGTGACCCTTCCCACAGAAATGAAACACTTCATTTCTGGAAATCTGGGAGCAAAGACAACATCCAACCCTGATTGCAGCTCAGGGAGCCAGTTTATTTCTTACGGAGGCAGAATATGTGATCTTGCTTCAGGCAGAGGATTTTTCATTACCTTTATCTTGCACTACCCCAAGTGACTTAGTCATGCTCTAGAGTTGGTGTCTTGCCTCAGCAGGGTCAGTTCAGTGGGACAGCTGGATACCTAAAGCATTTGAGATCCAGGAGGTCCTGCTCAGTAGAAGCCCAAGTGGAGCGGAAGGCCAGGGGAGACAGATGTTCCAGAGAGGGGACATTATCTCCCTCTGTGGTGCCCTGCTATTCAGGGTTCACAGCAGTGAGCCTCAGACCTGCACCATGTCCTTCATCGAGCCTTGTGGCTGGGACTCTCCTAAGAGTGTCTGCAGACCAAGGGGAAATATTAGGCCACACTTCAAAATTCTCTCCATTAACCAGCCTTTTTAGGAATTGAAGCTAAGGTGCTTATTTTACAACACTAGTAGTGAGAGCTTAGCTCTCTACCCTGCAAAAGGAAATGCTCTTTTCACTAGGTTCCTTCTCACTTATCTCCTCACTATCCTTGCTGATGGAAAAGTGTTCAGTGACCCAGCAGCCTGCAATATGAGCTCTCTTGCCAGTGTAGCTCAGAAGACGCTGTGCGCTTCTATGGGAAGTGCCTCCTAACTATTCTATTGACGGTCCTTTCCCAGCGGAATGACCTGCAGAGCAAGCAGCTTGGGTACTTTGGAAAATGGTGCACACTGGTTTTCTAGATCTTTCCTCAGGCTACTGAGGTCCTGGGGGATGTTGGTGGGCCACTGCTTGTGAAGCTACAAGTTGCATTCGACAAGGATGGACATGACAGGTATCCCCCTACTTCCTTGTGAACAATGCAATGCATCTCAGGGTCAGGCAAAAGAGCCCAGATTTTTCCCTGGTCCATAGAAAACATCCATGCCATAGTTTCTACCCATTGTTCATCATCTCTTTAGAATCCTCAGGCCCTTTGTGTCTTAAATTTGTGTCACTTCAAATATTCACTGTGTGCAGAGTGCAAAGCAGTGTGCACAGAGGAGGGTCCAGACCCGGCACCTTTCTCCCCATGTCTTTAAGGGCTAGTAAACTGGTTCTAAATTTCTTAGGATCAGAGGACAGAAAACATTCATGGCTTACCCTAAATGGAAGGCAGCCTACTCACCTCCTCCATTTCAATTTGGTCTAATTACTCTGGTTCCTATAGCTTTAAAAAAGCATCTTAATGGCATTAAAAATCAACATGCATATATACTCTGTCTAAGGTGGATATTATTATCCGTGTCAAATAGTTACTTGGCTTTACAGCCTCCATGGCTTTATATGAAACTCAAAGCATTTCAAATACTAAGGCCCAAAATAAAACTTCTATTTCCACTACTCTTTTTCTACATTTCTGAATCAAAGGCTGTTTTTTTTTTTCACAAATCACAAATAATTCTCAGAAGGAAATATTCTCGCAGAACTAAGACCCTGTTGATCAGCCACAGGACCAGTCCCTTGCACGTCAAGAACAAATTAGGAAATATGATCTATATTTGCAAAAATAGTTACAGACTGTAGAGTGAATTTTAAAAAAACCCAAAAAACTAAGCATAGCTACCAAGACTCTATTGCAGACTGGGGCTGGAGCTTAGACTCCCACCCCACAATTCCAATTCGCTGAATCAGGTACAAAGACATGAGGCAGTATGTTCCAACAAATGACACTGCACTCAACCACACACTCAAACACACTCAGTCGCTGCATTAAATACACCAAACATGCTGGTTAATAAAATTTTAGTCTCTAGTTATCTATTTACACTCTATAATATAAGCAATAAAGTCAAACAACTAAGGCCAGTGGCTCTTCTTTGGGGAGAGGCAGGAAAAAGAGACCTAAGTATAAAAATAGTAAATAAAGTTTTAACCTGGTCCTGGAATCCTTTTACCTGTGGTACCAGTTGCTAATCTATGCAATGGCAAACCTGGAATACAGTACCCCATCTTGGGATGCCCTGATATACTTCAGCATTTGCGACATTTCTTCAAAGAGGGTAAGGATGTGGCACCAGGAGAATGGTGTGAGCTACTATAAAATATACATAGGTACATAAATTATATGATGGGTACTTAATTCTTCTGAAAGCTATATTTTCTGGACTAATTACAACAATAAAGAATGTGTGCTGTAAGCACCACATTTTGTAATAAGCCCACAACTGTCAGTTCCACTTTATGTTTAAGTGCTCTTAATACTAAAGTTACTAAAACTACACAGCTTGCCTTTTTCCCCCCTTTTCTTTGTGTGTTTTCCAAATTATACTGAGCTACCCCTTTGTATTGCGGACTGTACACTTTAATAGAGTCACACAATTTAATTCAAAGTCATTTTGCCCTGGTGAGTCACAGCTCAAAGATGGAATTTTCTAGCCCAAGTCTTATTAAAATCTAATCAAAATATCATAAGTTGAATACAATAATACCACTATATATATTCTCAACAGCTGCATTATGTAATCATTCCTATGAGGTTTTTACTTGCTTTTCATATCACACTGGTTATTAAAGACAAAATAATTTTGATGTACATATACCATATACTGATACATGATCTACATACTGATGCATATATGTACATTCAACTATAAATACCCACAAATACAACATTGGCACATGACAGAAAGCATTATCTTTGACATCCGACATACTGTTCATACAAATATTTCTCAAAGCCTACAATACAACAAATGCACATGTAAACTACAAAGAATAAGCCAAAGAGACCTAAGGAAACCTATTGTATCTACAATTAACTTGCCATAGTTCCTTGCTGTTGCATTCAAGTCAACAAACTGTCATGCAGATTCAAGTACTTACTGACATTCTCTGAAGACATTCTCTTGGCATGCAACAGGCCAATTACTGTCCTAGGCAGAAGGCTGCCTGTCTGGGGTTGGATATTGTACATATGAGAGGACAGTGATCTTGGAATTCAGTCTCTCTTTTAAGAGTAAGATGGAAAAGGAATTTGGAAGGAAAAACAGGGACAAAGTACCTCTGTATCTCTATCAAGAATCTATCACAGAATTATTCTGTGGCTAACTCTACAGTCCCTGGATGATATGATGTTGTAAGAGGTCAAAAGAATGGTAAAGAGGGAGAGAGAGAGAGAGAGAGAGAGAGAGAGAGAGAGAGAGAGAGAGAGAGAGAGAGAGAGAGAGAGAGATCTGCTGACTTTGAAAGAGACCAGCAGCCTGGCCTGGATTAAAAGGGCAGAAGGCTTGGGAGAAAAGCAGACCCAGAGGCTCAGTTGCCCACAAAACTCACTGATCTATTTGAGCGGACACTACCATTCAACAAGTCACACTGTCATTCATAAAAACAAGTGTTGAGACACCTCACTGTTTTTTGTTTGTTTGTTTGTTTTACAGGAGTAGTTATTGAAAAAAATCCATTATTGAAAAAGTGGGATCGTTCTCTGCTAAAATTGAGGGAGATGGCTACTGAACTCTCGAAACTTATGCCAAGTCCACAAGAACAAAACTACAGAATTTTGAACCTGCACATCTAAGAAGCTTACTGTGTACCGAGTGCAAATAAGTGATGATTACAACAAAGGCAAAGAATTCAATTTCTAAGGACAATGAACTTAACTCAAAAAGGTCTTAACAGAAAGACAAGGGAAAAGCTAACTTCTAGGTCAGTTTTCTGCCATCGTCAATGACTACGTGAAAAGACCGAGAACAGGAGCAAAGCAGGCTGTGCACGATCTAAGAACAGCTTTCTGGGCTTTTAGATTATGAGAGGGATGATGGGTGAAGACAGTAATGGACAAAACCAGCCCAAAACACTGTATAACTTGGTACATAGGCAGCAAAAGGCCTCTTGCCTTCGTGGTTAGGCAAATTCTCTCCCAACTTTAGAAATTCAGTGTTCTGGCCACATGGTAAAATATAAACCTAGCTGGTCTTTGAAAGGCCAGCCACATTTTGTTCTTCTAGAATTAATTTCCTGTGTCACATCTGTCTAGGATACCGACCTCACCTCCCAGATTAGAATGGCAACTGGAGATGCATTTAGAGTCCTGTAGATAGCACGAGACTGCTGCATGAGAAAATGCCTTCTAGCTTCTTTACTTCAGAGCAGTGAAAACTGTTACATATCCTCCAGGAACTATTTCTACCAGAGGACTCTCCCACATGTTGGTTTTACTGAGGTTAATTAAAATGCACAAAAATATTGCTTGGTTTATTAGACAACGTGAAGACTTAGGTAACTGGTTAATAAAGAATTTCTATATTTCAGAAATGTCTATGGTCTGGAAAGAAAGACTTTATGTGCCTGTGGCTAAGTTTGTTTGCTGACAAGTCCTCAATAGCAGCGTGTGAAGTGGGGGCAGACCAGAAACATGCACAGATTTTACACATGGGCCCCTTCCTTGGCCAATTCATAACAAGGCTATCGGCAAGGTATTTCAATGTCATCACTTTTCTCCACTAAAAATTAATATTGAAAGGATGTGTGAGAAAAAGAATAATGATGCCCCACATGGAGAGAAGTCCCGAGAGCTTGAGCTCTGAGGTAGGGGGTGAGGAGTGACGTGGGGGTGGGGAAGAGTACCTTCAGAAGGGAGGGAACAGAGCAGCTCCTCTGTACCGTGAATTGTGCAACAGGCTCAAAATAGCTGCGAAAGGAAACACCTTTGCTTTCTTTTGACTAGATATCGCTGAGAAGAAATGATCACCACAGAAAAGAAGGACCAGACTCGCAGGATCCAATGGAATAAGAGACTATTTCCTGCACCAGGATAAACCTTGGCCTGCAACATACACTGATAGCAGACAGCATCCCTCAGAGGCCTCAGGGAAGAGGTGTTTTCAGCCCACGCCGTGTAGATGGGTAACATCTTATGATGGCAGTCTGGGATCCCGGCCCACAAAAGAACCTTAAAGTTGTTTTTAACTGCTGCTTCAAAATCGCCTATGTCATGTGACTGTGCATTAGCATGTCTGGGAGTCTCTGCCGCTAACATTGGTGAGTCCTGTCACAGGAACAGTGCTATGGGGGTGCTGATGCTAACTGAGCACTTTTAGACTACTCTAAGCATCAGAAATACTGCAGCAAGGTACCATTCAATATGCATTATATACTCTAAGGAAAATACACACAAACGTTCTATATACATAGATACACACATTCAAGCTAATCAGGGGTGTTAACTTGTCTTCAGTTACTGAAGCTCATAGATTATGTGGTTTAAGTACCTCTCTTTCCCCTCAACTAGTATAAATATTTAGGCAGAAAACAAACACTGATAATTCAGATTTCAGGAAGAAAGCTTCTGGAAGTCTTGGATTTGGTAAGAAGCTACCAAAATGATTCAGGTATTTTAGGCTGTGTTAGTTACTAGTGTGTTTCATAGTTCCGAAACATAAATTTAGACACTGTTTTTATCTAAACAAGATAGAAGTTGACAGTTTTTCGAGGTGTGGTACAATACCACAAAGCCAGCAACTACAACCATACCGAGGGGTTACTCTTTCCTGTGCACCAACATTGCGAATAGAGAAAGTAAACATTAATACATAATCATGTAAGTAAATGTAAATGTATCATAACAATATATTACTAGGAATATCATGGTTTTATAGCAGGTTTTCTCTAATCCACTCGGACCATGCTATTCATACAGAGCAGCTGATTCTTTGGTCATAGTACCTTCAACTAAAAAACAAAGCAGAAGTAGAGAAAATGTCAGTGGGAGGAAAAAGAATGCTTAGAACGATCCCATTAGCTTTAAAGTTCTGTTGTCTGAGAAGAAGATAGCTTCAGCGAATTCAGTTACAAAGTTTAGAACTCTGAAGCTTCTCCGTCACCAGGGGCTGCACCTGCACTCCTCCTGCCTCCCCTAGCAGCTACCATTCTGTTTATCACCCTCAATTTTAAAGGGCCCGCCACAGGTACAGCTCCTGACTACAAGGTGAACAGAACTAGCTTAAGTACACAGAAGTGACTTAAAACAGACAAAAGGATTTTTACGAGCAAGTTTACCAGTGACAGCGTGCAGTGGCTGTCAGAGACAGTGTGATTAGAAGAAACCAAGCCACTCTGCATATGCAACCAGCAGATTCTTCCGTATCAAGCACAACCATTCAGACTATTCCTTCCAGACTCAGTCTTAAGAATCACCATCCACTGCTGACCAACTGCAGCTGAGTTTTGCTCTCTTGTTTTGTCTTGGCTCAAGCAACGAACAAAAGGAGCTCCATTTCCTACATAGTGTTAGGAAGACTCCAATACCCCAACAACCAGGAGATGACCTCATGCCTATGTATATATATAGGCATAAAAAAAGCACAAAAAAAGAATCTACTCCTGGGTGGAGATGTGTCAGCAACAGAGATGATTCTGGATTCCCGCCGTAGACCCGTGGGAGTGAGGTAACGATCTCCTGAAGACTAAACACATGTCTACTGCTGCAGCTACCCCAGGAGTCAATTACTGCCACTCTCCTTCAGAAAACAAAATTAACTTGGTATCCATCTGTCCTCAGTCTTCAATAGCAAAATGACTCTACTTCCTCTTCCCCTTGCTTGGCTGGAATGGCATCCACACTCCAGCAAGCTTCTGTTTTTCCCCAAGTTCCCCAGTCCCGGGTCTTCACACCCCTCTCCCTGCTTCCAGCAGGGTCGGAACTCAACACTAAGTGCTAAGGTTCACGCAGGGCTCTGTCATGTTCGAACATCTGACTACCAGCACTGTGATTCTCACTGAAGTATGTGTGAGTGTTCAACTTCACCTCCGTGACTGGGCAAGATTTCACATATAAAGGCTTATGTTAACTCTGGCTAGAATTTGCTAAACTACAAAGTTTGTCCAGTTAAGTGTTTCACAATGGATTAAGTTTTTAACCTGAAAAAAAAAGGATAATGGTTGATTTGAGAATACATAAAACAACTGAGCAGAGTGCAAATGAGAGAAAACCAAAGGAGAAGGGATGCAGAATTCATTTTGAAGTCATGATCCTCTAACTCCTCACAAAAAGGTGCATTAGTTATCAATTTGCGAGAAATCGTCAAAGCAAAGAAATCCAGCGCAAAGACAATCTGTACAGAAACTAACAAAAATATACAATATAAAAAGTTACTAATGCACCATTTAGTCACAGACTTTTTTTTCAATATATTCACGGATTACCAGAAAGATCTTGAAAACCTCTGTTTTGCTCCATGACCAGCACTTCCTGGCCTCAGATGGACTCTAAGTAACTTTTTGCTTAATGCCTGGTGTTTCCGGCCGGTGGTCCTTCCGTTCTGACACGTTACGCTTGACCTTGGCGGTGACGGGAGATGAATCAGGGTTCAGCGAGGGACTCGAATGTGATTTCTTCAGACCAGCAGCCTCATTTTCGTCGCGGCTCAGGAGCTGCTTGCCTCCTTCTTTCAGAATGCCGACGTAAGTTTCATAGCGCGTTTTCTGGAGGCAAAGTCAGAGAAGACCGGCAGTCAGTATGCTGCGTACAAAGGCATACAACAGCGCACCTTGTGTGTGACGCCTGCAGACCTTGAACGGCTGTTGAACTCTTGACTTTATTCTCCCAAACAACAAATTACTTGGGTAATTACTGAGCACAGGAGAGGCAGCAGCTATAGGAGACTGACTCTGTTTCGGGTAAGAAGTTACTATGTTAGCTAACGTTTGCTCTATGTGGGAAAGCGATACTGACGCGTGGGAATTATTGGCTCCCAGGCAGAACACACATCCCGAGCACATAGGCGCAAGAGGGGCTAAGCCAGAGGCGCTGTGTCCACTTACCCTGTAAGTGACAGCGTAACTTTTATAGCTCATTTTCTCATGGCCTGAGCATCTGGCATGTGACCTCAACCTTGTGTGAACCTAGTTTGGGAACAGTTATTCACTCTTTCCTACTCCTTGTCACTTTACACAGACTCACCTGGAAGGATCCTTCCCTAATGAGTGCACCTTCATCCCCCTAGGGGACCTCCATTACAGGGCCATGTTCCATTTACCTCCATTGCTTGTCTGCCAAGGTCCTCACTTCTCTTTCTCATGTTACTATGCATTACCAGGACCATTATGAAGTTTACAGAACTTTATTTTCTGATGCTTATCATATTTAACAGAATTTCCTTCATCATCAACTATTTACTGAATATCTGCAAGATTTTGAACAGCATCTTGACTCCTTTATCTCTTGTGTCCGGGTATCTTTGCTCTAAGGGCTGAAAAGAACACTGCAGAGAATTTTCCTGTAGCTTTAACGGGGACTGTTTTTTGATGTCATTTCTACACAAGTCACTTATACAAAACTGTTGTGTGTGTATGTATATGTGTGCATGTGTGTATACATTCCAAATTAAAGCAAACAGTCTCCCATTCTTCACTTGATATATTCTAGTCACGATAAGTCTTTCACCATGCTGCCTCCACACATGAGTTTTTAGAAGGCCTGAAATGTTTTGTTTCTCAACAAAAGAACATGTCAGTTATAAAATGTCTGAACGAAGGCAGGCAGATTCTGTGAAGACTCTACATCTTTCAAGGATTTTTCTTCAGCTCTGTATATGTCAGTGTTAAGTTAGTAACTGTGAAGTGTTGCCTTTCTCAAAAGCGGGAAAGCTGCAGGTATTACACTTGCTCAGGGTTTGGTTAGTACCCAGGTGGGGGAGCGGAGCTCTGGTCGACGATGGTGCACTGCACTGAGTACCCACATGCTAGATTTATGTCATTTGTACCAATCCTACACAACGTGTAGTACCCTACCGTTGTTCTAGGTGAGGGAACACAGGCAGAGAGGCTCATAGTCAGCTAGAGATGGAACCCAGGCAGCATCCCTCCAGAACCATGCTCCGTGAGCTGCATTTCCTTTATGGACACGAAAATACAGACTCACAAATGAGACGTCCTCTGACACATATGGGTGATCAGCCACTCAGAGGCCATGCTTGCGTATCTTTTCTCTTTTTCTTTTTTGTATTTAGGACAGGGTGTACAGGTATACAGGGGCTCACTGTGTAGAGCAGACTCACAGTGATCATCCTGTTTACAGCCTCCCAAGTGCTGGGATTACAAGCAGAAGCCGCCACGCCCAGTCTTTATAGTCCTCTCACCTGTCGGGGGCAGGGCCAGCACTGCAGGCCCGGGGATTGAATTTCTGGCACTTTAATCCACTGAACTATTTGGCTGGCCGTTCTTTTCTCTTTTGTCCCTCCCACCACAAAGGCTGATGTTGGAGATAGCACAGGTCACTTGACCTTGTCATCCAGGAGAAGGAAGAAGTTTGGGGTTGGAGTTTTACCTCCTGAAGGGTGGGCTGCTTTAGAGGAGAGCACACTAGTGCCAGCTCCTTATCCTTAGCCCTTCTTTCACAGAAGCATAATTCCTAAAGCTGCTATCCTGTGACATGGGGTAAGAGGCATGAAAACAAAGGGCCACACACAGGCTTGAGCGAAAGAGGAAGAAATCACAAACAATAAAGTTGTTGAGTCCTTGGTAATTCAACAAGCTAGGTCCAACTCTGACTCTGCTACTTCTGCATGTGTGGCATGAATCATAAACATCCTTTGTGTTCAGCCACTGTTCATCCAACAGTGTTGCTTTTGGCTGAAAGCACTACCAACTGATACAAGTTCCAAAAGACACGTATAAAGAAATAATAAGTAAACTAAAGAACTACATGGTAGGATTATCTTAGAAGGTCAAGGGAGAACCTAATAAGGACATCTGCTAGTGCAAATGCCATCTATCTTGCACATTTGCACATGCAATCAGGATTTTGAATAAGAAGATATATCCAAAGGACACACTGGTTCTAAAGTGGAATTCATTCCTAGAATGTATTATTTAATCTGTCTCCGCATCACCTTGGTAGCACGATTAAAATGCAGGAAACCACTATTCTCAGTAAGAATGAGATTTAGTAAGATGATCTATGAGCAGTTTAAAAATAAATACTGTAAGCCAGTGTAAGGCACACTACTGCATGAAGTTGAAGAATCTCTACAGTGAAAGGAGCCTGAAGCAGCTCCTGAGGTGACGTGCAAAGGCACAGAAGGAGAGAAGGCAATGGGGACAGTTTTCTACCAGTCTCTGAAGAGACTGCTAGGACTGAGAGCAATCACTTGAAATGCACATGCCGGGAAACCATCTCACCCACATGTTGTGCGGCTCCAGCCGCAAGGCTGTTGTCTCAATTAAATTACATCCTTTGTCAGCCAATAAATAAAAGGCACAGGTGTGGCTGTGTATGAGTCACCAGATCAGAGGAAAAGACAAAGCACAGCAAGGGTGAAAGGGGGCTGAAAACCAAGACAGCTCTGTTGTTGTTAAGACAAATGAAAAGAAAGAAACCTTTGTGCTCTGTTTCCAAGTGACTGTGTTCCTCTTCTGAATAAAAAGGCTTACAGGGACAGAAGCTATAAACCTTAGAAATATAGCTTTGATTTTTTTTTTCTATTCTCTGAGACTTTTCCTCAACCTACATCAAACATGTGTCTTTAAATTATTTTAGGAAAAGGAAATTTCTACCTCAGAACTACTCAGCAAGTACTTGTTTCAGTGACATCACTGTGGGGCTGCAGGCTTATCTGAAAGACAAGTTAATCCTCCTAAGCTGCTTTGGGACCAGGCAGAACTGCCTCCAGGAAAGAAAAGCACCTCCACACCATCTCATCTTAGGTTGGGTTATTCTCTTTCTCCATTTGAAAGAAGAAATGATTCTCATCTTCTTTCCCCAAAAGCAACTGTGAAATTTGTACTTTCAGTTAAAACTGGAGAGGAAGAAAAAGTGGAGTAGCACTGTAAATCACTCTAGAAGATACTTCATTTTTATTTGACACACAGTACTTAATGGATATTTAGGGGTTACAGCGTGATATTTCAATACCCCCACAGAAGCTGGGATGGTGGTGTGTGCCTCTAGTCCCAGCACTGGGAAGGCTGAGGCAGGGAGGATCACTGGGAGTTCAAGGCCTGCTTGGGCTACACAGTGAGACCCCCATCTCAAAAAAAAAAAAAAAAAAAAAAAAAAAAAAAACCCAGAAAGAAAGAATGAATGAAATAAGTAAAGAAAAGAAAAAGAAAAAATCATCCACAAAATATGCAACAATTAGATCAGGATAAATCATCCCGCTTTATCATCCATAAGCTCGCAATTTATTATTCCTTTGTGTTGGGACATTCAAAATCCTTTCTACTATTTTCAAATATTCAATTGATGACTGTCAGCCAGTTATCCTACCCATGCTGCTAGGGAACAGCGTAAGTTATTCCTCTTGGTCACCTGTATTCCTGTACCTGTTCAGGACCTCCCTCTAGTTAGTTTCCTTTCCCTTCCTAGGCTTGGGTACCTGTTTCTCTGAGAACAATCTTTAGCATTCTCACATGAGAACATGTAGGATTTGTCTCTCGATATCTTACTTATTTCACTTTCCTCTCATTCTATTTATGTTGCTGTAAATGACAAAATATTCATTCTTGTTTATGAGTAAGATTCCCCTGCATCTCCTTCATCCACACATCCACCGATGGACTCCTAGCTTGATTCCAGGTCTGGCTGTTGTAAACAGTGTTACCATAAACATATAAACAGGCCGATTTCAGTACCTCTGGGTACACAGTAGTGGGGCTGCTGGATCAGGTGGTAGCTCTATTTCTAGGTTTCTGAGGAGACCCCACAGTTTGCCACAAGGCACTCACTTACATTCTCATCAACAGTGTATGAGTTTTCCTTTCTCTGCTTCTTCAGTAACATTTTTTACTTTCAATCATTTTAGTAAGAGTGATTCTAACTGGGGTGAGATACCTCATTGTGTCTTTATTGCATTTGCCCAATGATGACTGATAGCATTTTCATACCCTTTTTGATCATTTGTACATTCTTCTTTGAGTCTCTTCCAGTCATTTGTCTCCAGCTCTGCTCCTTTCCCCAGTCACCTGTCTTAACCTCCAAACCCACACCCTACCACCACTTGCCCACCTGTGCGCTCTCTCCCCACCTCTCCCCCTTGCTCCCCCCCTCCCCCCTTCTTTGTGGTACCAGGATTGGTCTCAGGACCTTGCACTTACCAGGTGAGCACTTCTTCCACTGAGCTATCTCCCCAGCCCTTTCTTGTATTTCTAATTGGATTTCTTTCTTTTCTCTTCTCCACCTCATCCCCTTTCCCCCAGCACACAGTGGAATTTACAGATATTTTCTCTCATTAAGTAAGCTGTCTCTTCACTCTGTCAATTGTTTCATTTGCTAATCCTACTTCATAATTTTTTTATTTTGTTGCCTGTGCATTTGGGTTCATATTAAAAAAAAAAAGAAAAAGAAACTCAAAAACACTGCTGTCCACACTAATACAGTTGAGTGTTTTCCTTTACTTTTTGCAAGTTCCCCTCTGGTTTCTTTCCTTTTTTTCGATTTTCTGACACACGGGCTCACTGTGGAACTCAGTCTGGCCTTTACCTGA